ACAAAAACATACATAAAGTACATAAAATAAATCTTAATATTTTCCACTGTTCTGTGTTAAAGATGCATTTTCAGTATGACTCTACACATTTTTGACATTTGACATCAAATACAGGGCAGAAAACCCGGGGGCAGCGGAGAGCTGTGCCTCAGATCTGACGGCGTGATCCAATCAAACTGGGTCACATGACGCGGGCCCGTTTCTGTTCCTCAGGCTGAGGAACAAAATGTTTAAACAGTACATTTTGTTTCCAGCTCTCGTAGAGCACCCTATTTAATTAAACAGTACTGTTTAAACATTTTGTTTCCAGCTCTCATAGACCACCCTATTTATAACGTACACAACAAGCAACGAGGAGATTATATCTGATGTGGAATCTTATCGTTCCAAGAAACAAAGAAATTAAAGGAGGAAAAGGAAGAGGGGTTTCACTGCAGGAGGAAGTCTCATTACCTCCCTGTTATTACTTTCGCTGTAGCTGTCATGGAGAAATAATGGGGGTCAAAAGAACGGTGGCAACACAACAGAATAAACACAAAACACTTTTGTTTTATTGTCCAGTTCTTTTTCAGCTCAGGGTCACTGTAAGGTCACTGATTACAAACCAGAATATGAAGTTTAGACTCACTGTAAGATTTATTGTTTTGTAAACAGTAAAGTTTCTGCTTCAGGATGTTATGAACGACTCAGCGTTTGCCAACAAGAAATGAAGAACTGAAATATTTTAGGAAACATCCCTGTTTTTTATTTTTATACTCTCAAGCTTCCTCATGGTCACACATGTTAGTCACACCAATCACATGAATGTGACAGATCACATTGTTTTTACCAGCCAAATAAACAGCAACCTAAAAAAACCTATTGTTAAAAAAACACATATTCCTCAATTTTTGTTTTAAAATGTCATGTTGTTATTTGAGGGACAATTTGGATTTTTGTTTTCTTAAAATACCCAGAGTTCAAATTCTATTGTGAGCAACACAACAACTTAATTCAATAAATCGTTTTTTTATCTATTCACTGACAACATTTGTGTTTTACTACAGTTAAAGTACCCAATCATAAGTACAATCATGAGGAAGAAACATCAGGATCACTTCAATGATGAACACAGCAAGATGAGGTCAGAAGCTAAAAGTTAGGGAAATGTTACAAAATGTCAAACTGTAAAAGAAATGGAAGTTGTTGTAGAACTATAAGTTACTTCAGTACAATAAAAACGTCACTTGTTGTAGAACTATGTTGTAAATGTAAACTACCGTTGTTTTCTCTGTAAAAAACAATGTAAAATATATTCTGTAAATTTGTAAGTGAGAAATGATCAGATGGAGCAGAAAACCATTTAACACAGGAAATTAATGAGTGAAAGTTGAGAACATGCAGTTAATACAGTTACAAGTTGCGTAAAATCTGCTAAAGAGACTAAAACATGACTGGTTAGTGTCAAAAAGTAGCTGAGTATAAGTGTCCCGGAAACTAATTTACTGTTTTGTTAGAAAAATATCTCCCCCCAAAAAAACAGTTAACTCAGCAAAAATCTGTTACAGAACTTTATCTTTAAATAAGCATAGTGATAGTGAGCTGTAATATTCAGAACAAATAAATTAGGACTAATGTTTAACTGTATCCACAGCAGTCGTTACCAAACATATCTAACATATGTTCTAAACATATGTTTTCTTTTAAACCAAATACTATGAGAAACTGAAGAGTTCTATTGTGTTTATGTCTTCAGTTCAAATGTGGGTGTAGGGGAGCCCTGAAGGACCAGTTCTGACATCGCACTCTGGGGAAGGTTACCATCGTACTGAGAACAGGGTGGAACGATGGAAAACATGTGCGCCACATCAAGGCCGCCGTGTTTGTCTGTTTAAAATCTCTGTGAAACCATCCGCCCTTCCTTCCAAAATAAAACTTTTCTGCATCAAATAAAGAGCAGGGTGAAGAGGTGGAGCAGCCGCAGAGGCTCCAGTCGGGACACCGGGCCTTGAACCAAAAACATCTGCACCACACGGCTGCAGGGTC